AATTGTAAAAAAATACTGAAAAACTGATTTCGTTTAAATTTTTGTCGTGGACTGTATATTTATTTGTCTGACAAAAACTACTCGCAATAAAAGTATTCTTATCTTTACAATTACACCTACACAATTCTAACATTCATTTTTGATTCATTTATACACATTTATATACATATACATGCATTTTATTGGTATTCTAAGTAAAAGACACTGTTAGAAATCACAGAATTTATCCAATAAAATCTAGCAAATTTCCTATAGAAAAAAGAATCAGTAATAGTTTTAGGACAATAGAGTATAATGCGTGTCTTGATTGTATTGAGTATAATTATTCTGTTTGAAATAATTACTTTTACTCTTGCAGCTGCTAAACTTGGAACTCTTAACAAACGATTCAATAATATCAATCAACAAATAGATGAACTGCAAGAACTAATATCTAATATTACTCATCAATTATTTATGACAATCATAAGAACGACAACTTTGCCTTCGACTACGATTAGCAGTACAACTACACCTCATACTTTGACTTCAAGTGATATATCGGCATTCATAAGTGATACTTCGACAACAAGTGAAACAATGATTACTGGTAAACTCTAGAATCTCTCATGCTCTCCTTTGTTTTCATTCTCTCTTACATGCTACTTCTTGTATATTGAGTTCTTGAATAAATAAATCTCATATCGAGTTATTTTATTATTTACAACAACCATTGGTTCATCATTGCTCAATTCAATCTTTGTCATAGTCAATTACAATAGGAAACTAAATCAAACGATTTTATGATTCGAACGTGATTATTATAGAGCATAAAAAACAATATACATCATATTGTCGATTGAGACTTCATTTTGTTTATATTCGCATTTTTTTTTATACCATCTCTTATTCTTATATTCAATAATAGGAATAGAAATTTATTGCGTAAGATTACATAACAAAATTAAAGGGATAAATGATGATTTGTGGAGAAATCTTTCAGCATGAACATATACAAGATGATATCAATGAAATGCATTCGAAAAAGTTGTTTCTCTCTCTCTCCATTCATTCTTGATGAAGAAAATATTTATATTAAAAGCATAATAAGCCGAAAATTAAAGCTCCATGCATAGACAAAAAATAAATGTCACGTACTGTATTGATCACCAATGAAAACTACAATTTATTCATAAAAATTGATTGTTGCTTTTTGGTTTTTAAAAATCTATTAGAACATTGCATGGAATGAAAATTTAAAATTTGTGTATCACTTTGTTATGTAAAAAGTTTCTGTAAGAGAACTACTTGTACTCTACATATTGATTACGATTTTAATTTCTTTCTTGAAAATCTAGAATAGAGATATTCAAGTAAATTTATCCAAAAAACGACTTGTTACAATATCTTTCTTTTATGGAAAAACTCGATTCTATGTTAACGTTTCTTTGAAAATCATTAATGAAACTCGAACTCAATCATTCTTTCTACATGATATTTGAAACTGTTGTAATAAACAAGACTAGCACACTGAAAAATTAATCGAATTTTTATATCTAAGTAAAAGATTATTTCGTTTTCATATCGATTATTCTGTTATGACATAAATTGTTAGAAAATGAAAATAGGAATATTTGTTTTGAGATAAGCTTATAGATTTATGATGAGTAAAATCATCTTGTTTGTCTTTCATATTTTTCAAACGAACATAAGTTGAAGACATATCCGGAGAACGATAGTAACTACATATTTAGAATTTTTGTTACAATAAAGATAAAATCAAATATAAAATGTCATAATAATTAAATCACTCAGATATAAATCAATGATCAGACTTTACTCATATGTTCATTTAGGATATATGTTTACATTCAGTCACTATGTGTTAGAGATTCGCCAGCACGAAAACTTTTGATTTTATAAAATTTGAATTCGAATAACCCATACTGTAATGAGTCTATGAGGTTTTTGATTTCAAACTGAATTTTGGAAAAAAAATAATACTCGACTTTTCTCGAACACAAGAGTTTGGGAAGAGTCTAGTAAAAAAAGGGCATCTTTCTGGACAGAATAAAAGGGGAGAAAGTCTTGCAATAAAAAATTTTTAAATCGACGTCACTCCTAATCATAGCTAACAACACTTTTTCAGTTTATAGGGTGATCCCATTGAGCAATGAAAATTCCATCACATCCAAACACTCGATCGCTAATCTTTTAGCACATACCACCTGATATAACTTCGCATTGCTTTATTGCGATATGGACCTATGTACACCCTTCTTTTAAGATGGGAAGACTAGGAGGTCTTTAGAATTATTTATATGAATAGATAGGTATATACTCAGTTTTTCTTTTTGAATTGGAATATGTACATGTATAATTATATGAATAACTCTAAAGACCACCCAGATCTCTATTTCATTTGAAATCGAGTGCTTTTTTTTGCTTGTTGTAAATTCAGATTGAAATTAAATATCCCATTGTATGACTATAATAGGATAGTCTCATTTGATTAGCGAGCTTTTCTTAATAGCAATAAAGAAGAGAGCTCAATTTTACGATACAACCAGTTAAGTAGTAATTTTTCAGAGGTTGTCAAATATCTGAGACTTTTCATTTGAATTCTTATGGATTGGAGACAAGATACATGATGAAAATAACGCTACATTATAAAATTTGAATGAAGATTGTTGACTTGGAGAAAAACTTATTAATAAATCATTTCTCGAAATTTTAAAATTAAGTTTTATCAGCCTATACCAATCGAACATCACTGATTTGGGTGAAGCTTTATGGAAACTCGCTTTTTCGTGAACCACAGAGCAATGTTCAAAAGATGAGAAATAGGAATTCTTAATCTCTCGAGCAATTATGTACAGAACTATGAGAATCGACTGTTAGCTCCCTTACGCTTCCACTATTCATAATAGCGTATGCAATGCATTTGTTGCATTAGTTCTCATAACCATACAAAAGCCTTCACATAGTTCTTTGGTGAAATGATTATGAGAATGTAAAAACAAAAAATCGTTTCCGCTAGTTTCTTTTTTTATTTTGGTAATCACAAAGCGGTGAAGAAATTTCTATTTCTCAGTCGTTGAATATCCATCGATTCTGAAACACTTTTTACAATGTTTAGACTACTTGAAAATGAAATTGTTTTTTTTTTCTAGATAACTACTACTAATAGTCTATGTCGGAATAACACTACCCGTAGAGTTTATTTAAATACACAAGAAAAATAGGACTGAATTGAAACAAAGAAGTAATGTGTGTGTTTAAATGTGCTTATTTGATATATTCTTACTCATTTCAATAGCTGATATAAATTCATCTATTGAAAACCATCGATACCTTGATTTAATCGACCGATTTCCAACATTTATCGATACCATCTTCTCTTATATATTGTGTAAAATCAAATAATGCTTGACAATCTTGATATAAACTAATATAAATTTGAAAATCAGTGGAAAGATCAATACTATATTCCATCGAGAAAGACTTCAACTTGTTCAAATGATCGAACTGTAACTTTACATTCACAACATCCGTAGTGAAAATTTATGAGATTTTAATTCAATGAAAAATCATGTAAAATAAGAATGATATTAGCAATCATTGGTCATGACGAGAACCAATTGGATTCAAAATTTTTGGACTTGAATCTGAAACCAATTCGACGGACTTTAATCACCACTCGTTGATGAACCACATATCAAAGTCAACAAAGATATACAGAAAAAAGCAGATTTTGGATAGTTATTTGTTACGTGATAAAGCTGTATTAATTTCTTCCTCATTGACAAAAAAATGGTTTATAATCTACTTAATATCCAGTTTAGGCACATTTTATTAAATAAATATCTAATACAATATGCTATTATTTTGAAAGAAAAATACTTTTAAATATTTGTTAAAATTATAAAAATTATCGCTCGAATTTAGTCTATGAGGAAGATAGTGTTTTCAACATAAATCTTATTAATGTGTACACCTAATAATTATTGACTATTAACTTTTGTATGATAGTGAGTATATGAATTTTCAACAAATTTATTATTTCAAAAATATGTACCATACAACCTTGTTACAAGTAGACACTTATATTTTTACATTCTGCATTCTCAAATAAAAAAAAATACAAGAAAAAGAAAAATGTAATGGAGACTATTTGAAAATTGACGTATGCAATGTATATTAAAAGAATGTGATACTCATTTACTTGCGAAAGTCCACATATAAATCCAACTTAATACTTTCAAGTTGATAAAAAGCACGTCTTGAGAAAAGAAAATTTGCAATCATCATAGTTCTTACTGAAATATGAAACTTCTATAAAAAAAAAAATTAGTAATAACGTTTTTTTTTTCCTACATACTATGCTTTTATTTTTGCAAACTAAATTTTTTCTCTTTCAAAAAAAAAAAAAAACATCGGAAAGAAATAAATTATTGTTCTGTTTTCCTAGTAAACCCACTCAAGGTTGTCATAGATATCTGATTATATAAAGCAGTATTCATCAATAACACTAACCGATAAGAGTTATTGCATATTTTCTTTTCTTTCTTAATCGAAAAATTCTATTAATCAATCATTAATGGCTTTAGGTGAACAGAACAATATGCGCATCTTGCTTGCATTAGGTATAATTGGTCTGTTTGGAATAATTACTTTTGCTCTTGCTGCTGCCACTCTTGGTACTCTGAACAAACGATTCGATGATCTCAATCAAAAAGTAGATACACTTCGCCAACAAATTTCTAATTCTTATGGCCAATTATCCACAACAACTACAACTTCAACGACGACTGCTACCACAACTTCGACTACGACTGATACTACAACTTCAACAACCAGTGCTACGACTACTTCCTCAACTTCAACAACCAGTACTACGACTACTTCCTCAACTACAACAAGTGCAGGAGGCTAAACTAGAGCAGCGACACTAACTTGATTATGTATGACCGATCATTGAATTTTAGACATGTTATATATCTACTACGTTTTCATCTTCGCCGTTTGTTTTGGTTCTCTTTTGCATGTTACGTTTTGTTTACTCTATTCTTGAATAATAATAAAAAAAATCGCGCATCGAGTTATTTGATTGTTTACAACGACTATTGATTTATCATTGTTCAATTCAATCTTTGAAATAGGAAATTAAATCGAATGATTTTATAGTCAAAAATACTTATATACTATTCGACAAGGTACTTTATGTTTGTTGTGAAGATGTCTGTGGATTTATACTTGATGCAAAAAAAAAATGTTTTTATCAAAAGTCGACAGATTCAAAAATATCAATCGACTCACGAGTCTTTGACCTCGATGATAATGATGCGTTAGTAGTAAACAGGGTGACATAAAAGTCACTGAGAAGTTTTTGAGAAAACCAAGATTAAACAAACTGTTGTACTCAGAATTTAAAGTGCTATGAAAACTTCTAAAAAACAGTAAAAACTGTAACTTTCTTTCTTGTTTCTATCAAAATTTATTCATAATCAAAAACTGTCTGATGACTTTTGGATCACCCTATGTGATTATATTGTATAGTCACATAATCGATATTGAATTCTCAGTACTTGTTTTTTTTGTTCAAAAATGTTCATTAGATACGAAATGTGATGAGATATTGCTTTTGTAAAAAAAAATCTGTAAGACTTCTTTTATTCCGTACATCGATGACGAATTTGATTTATTCTTTATAGGACAACATTGAAGTGATTATATCAAAACAATGACGTCTCATCATATTTTTTCCTGCCGAAAAATTCATTTCTGTAAAAACGTCTTTTTGAGAATCATTTAAGAATGCTGTAGTAGTTTTTTTTTTGACTGGCGACATCTAATTGAGTGAATAAGCTTAAGCAATGAAATAACATAATAGGATTACTTATCGATAACGGTATTTGAGATGAAAGAGCTCGAAAGTAAATAATACTTTTCAAATTCTAAGTCAAACATTCTTTCAATGTAATATCTCCTACTGATGACATTAACAAGAGAAGCATGTTGAAAACTAAACTGATTTTTCTTTTTGTATTTTCATTTCGTGACAATAGATGTTCTCTTACGACAAAACTTGATATTAAACAGGGTATACGAAAGATGCGCACCGATCAAAATGTCAGATTTCGAAATAAAACGGACTCTGTCAACTATCATTCGCGTATTACATAGTGTTCACAAAACCGTCGTGCGCATCTTTCAGGATTTCATAACGAGATATATAGTGATGGACAAAAGTTTGGAGAGCAGTTATATTTTTAAGGTTTCTTCTTGATGGTAATAGCTAGCAAGAATCTAAAGACACATTTTTCTAGCTGAAAGAATTCGTAGATTTGAAGATTTCAGCAAAACTACATGAAGGAGAGTTTGTGGAAAACTAGCATTTTGACTGCCATTCGAAGGTTTTAAGAAAAAGATTTTGTATAATAGAACAAGATGAGATATCTCTATGAGTGAACTACATTCAATTTACCAAAGGTACAAAGTAAATCTTTTACTACTAAATGAAAATTTCTCATTTTTATGAAATAATTAGTTTCAGATCTTATGAATGTTTTAATAATAGATATCTTACTCATCTCATACGGTCATTTATTTTTAAATCTGAGAGATTCGTGTACTCGCTATTGTTCAGCTTTATAAGATATTTCATATTTCTATCAAATTAATAAAAAATTACATCGTTTCATTTCTAGACTTTGTACAATCCTCTAAAAGGAATAGTGTTATTTCTTATGATCCAGTTCCTGAACACCTATCATTCAATTGCGTCTATCCGTACATTTTTTTTCAACTAACAGAAGATTTACATTTGCTATTCTGTGCTCACTTTTCATTCGTATATAGTCGAGACGAAATTTTTGAAAAGTTCATCCAATAGATTGATTATTGAAATGACAAATGTAATAAACAAAAACAAAAAATGATCTCTATTATAAATTTGAATTCTATTTGATTAAATAATTATCATATAATTTTTTTTTTGAAATATACAAGAAAAATAGAATTGAATAAAAGAAAAAAATAATTTGTTGATTTATATGCCTTATTACACATATTTTGATCAGAACAAAAACATATTTCTTTTATTTTTTGATCATTTTTTTTTACTTGTCGACATCCATCTGATGTATTTATACCTAATTCAGCAGCTCGTATAAGTTCATCAGTTGAAAAACATCGACGACTTGATTTAAGTTTTGATTGATTTTTATTTTTTATTAATAATTGATTATAAGTTTTATTTTCATATTGTCGTATATCAATTAAATCAATTGATTTCCAACATTTACCCGTACAATCTTCTTGTGTATGTTGTGTAAAATCAAATTGTGCTTCACAATCTTAATATTTATATAAATATAAAATCATGTCAAATATCAATACATACTATCAAAAAAAACTTCAGCTTGTTCAGATGATTGAATTGTAAATTCACATCGCCAACATTGTAATGAAGATTCATGTGATTGAATTTGATAAAAATTTAAGTAAAAATATAATGATATTATTAACCATTTACTTGTCATTTGTTATCAATGAACTAGAAATTAAAATCAATAGAAAAGAGATATAGAAGAAAGAAGATTGTATATTGATTATATTTGCTGAAGGACGAGTGTTCATTTCTTCTTTACTATTGATAATAAAAGAATTCTAATCATTTACTTAAGATTCAATTTATGCACCTTTTTTTTTTTGTCAAATAAAAATTTAAATTGATGTACAATTATTTAACATATAATATTTGTCATAATGATTTAAGTATACAATGCGGTTGTATTATTGTTTGACTTCGATAATTATTAACATTCATAGTAGTAAAATCTATTCATGAAATCTTTCGATATTCATACTTCAATAATAACAATATTATCAATTCTCATATATTTGGTTAAAAATAGTGAATACAACAAATTATGTTTCATCAGCAGTAACAATGTCGAATACATGATGGAATCATTTGAGTGACTGATGATAAAATTGAATATGCGATTGTGTTTTTAGTCATCGGTTGGCTGATGAACCTCTGTGTTGCTTTAAATATTTGTGAACAATTGTATTAATTCTCGATCAACAAATATTCATATTGCTCGGACACCATCGATTGTTTCTTTACTGACAGCAGTTCGAAGACAACTTGAACCGGCAATGAAGAACTGTACAGTATGAAAATGTACCAAAGAGGCTTAACTTTTCTTGTACGTTAAACCAATATTCTAGGCATAATTGGAGATAAAATATGGAACTTCATCAAGTTTAGTTGCTGGAAAAGATCTTAATTTTTTGAAATCACTTATTAGTTATGAACAATTTTTGCTAGTAAAACACATTAGAAATATTTCAAATTTCGAACTCAAGGAACAGCTTGAAAACTTTTTTTTTTACTTATTTTCTTCTACACTTCAGAAACATACAGAGAACTTTTCTATTCAAACACACATCCGTAATAATATGTGTATTTGTCTTAATATGAATTATTATTCATCGGATTTTGTCTTTTTGTAGGTTAGATTAACTTAAATATACGTTATAAATCTTTTTAAAAGCATCAAGTTTATACTTTTTGATTTCATACGATAAAGTAAGAAAGGAAGTAAAACAAAATTAATCAGAAAAAAGTTTATCAGACAACTTGAAAGTATATATTCATAATCTGTTATCTAGAGAAACAAAAATAAATCTTTCTCAATTCGTACCGATGCATCATATATATATATATACATATGTCAGACAAATAACTATCGATTAATCATCATCTTCTTTATTGAAATATTAAATTTCAATCATGATATAATCTTGATCAAACATATAACATAGTAGTGACGTTATCAGTTTGATTAAAGGATGTGACACTCTTTTCATGATTTATACTCCTTATTAGGTATTCGTTTGTTTAATTATTTTTTGGTTGCAATAATGTAAGACAACATTGGACAAAATATCATCATTTTTTAGAATACGTCACTTCTAAGTAAAATATCAAAAAATAAAACGACTAGTATTTTTGATTATCAAAAATACATCCGAAAATTCTATCTTTCATTAAAAAAGACTTTTCAGTCAATTTTTATCCGTAGGAAAGTACAACTTAAAATATTGAGAGGGAGAATATAGCAAAATTTTGCAAACTAGATATGTTCTGCAATGAAATGTAGAATTTCCGATGTATTTTTGATAATCAATATTTAGAAATACTAGCTGAGTCTTTTTTGAAAATTTTAAGTGGAAATGATCCTGTTCTAAAAATAATAATTTTTGTTTACTAACATTGAAAAATCTCATGTTTGGGTCAGAAGTTTTGATATCATAATACCATCTATGATACAAAAACTAATAAAACAAAATTTAGCAACGCATCATTGTAAATTTTTGTGAGTTAAACAATCTTTCTGATGTACTAAAAAATAACTGTATAACTGAGTACTTTTTAATGATAGGCAATCCTCGTTAGTAAACTAATTGTTTAAGATAATTTTAGTTTTATTTTCTAGACAGGCTTCGTAGAAGTTGAACGTGAACATATAGGAATATATAGGATAGGATGAATAAATTTTTATAGGATTTTCTTAAAAATATAGGACAAATATAGGATCTAGTATTTCAGAAAAAAAACGCTATGATGGATTTTAGAAAAAAAAACTACAGTGAGGTGCAAGTCATGCAGAATTTGTATTGCATATTATAATATAAATTGAAAATGACCTCGAACCGTAATTAACAAAATTAAACGATAAAACATTTTTAACAGAATGTTAAAACTAAAAGATGCCTTCGGTTCGACCTATTGACAGAACCCTACTAACACATACATAAAAATAGCAATAGAGCAAATGTAATATAGAAAACTCAAAGAAGCAGAAAAATAGGTTTCTTTTTCCGGCTAGAAGTATATAAGAGCTTCATAATCAACATAAACATACATATGAACAAAAATTACATAGGACAATATCTGTTTAACTGTTGCAGATTATTGTAATAAGTGAAATTTTAAGTTGTGTGTTGCCCTCTAAAAAGTCCACATCTTATTTCCCTATAAATTTAAACTAGATAATATCCTAACAATATTCGGAATGTGGATTCCATTGTAAACACTCAACTTTTTGTTGTTGCATTTTTAAATAAATCTTGCTCAACACACGGCAACGTCTCAATCATACAGAATGTCCGGAAAGTCATTTAATAAAATTTTTTTCGTATATCTTTGCTGTTTTATTTAACATTATCAATGAATTTTTTTTAAACTATAGACGAATATAGTGAGGTTTTATTTATCCGAACGACTTTCAATACTATCCTGCAAAACTATTATCTTTGAACGAAATACAAAAATTTTGCTATTTTTGTGAGATGCGAATAATTCAAAATTTGATAATGGTTTTTTCTTTGATATTTTCATATGATGAGATAGAGCTTGTCGAGTTCTACAAGAATATGTATATTGAAAATGTTTTACAACTTCTCTTTGAAGCAAAATTTGCAGAGAGCTACTACAGAAAGTCTAAATAATTAAAGAAAACACTGCATAATGTTCTACTCGTATCTCATAAAAATAGCAAAGTTTTTGTATTTCGTTCAAAGATAATAGTTTTGCAGGATAGTATCGAAAGTCGCTCGGATAAATAAAAACTCGCTATACTCGTCTATAATTTTAAAAAAATTTGTTGATAATGTTAAATGGCTTTTCGGACATCCTGTAGTTCCAAATAATCTCATCAAATCCACATAAGTGTAATCATTTGTCCAGTGATAAATATTACAAATTCAATCATTGAAAACAATGATGTTTTCAATAGAAGATTTAGTAAGAGCTATTAATGATTTGTATTTCTATCAATGGCATCGTTTTTTTTTGAAAAAAATTATAACATTTTAATTATTTAGTCATCTGTGTTCTTGATTAGTATTGATTTTACTCTCAGTGGCATAATGGGGGTCATCAGCAGTCACGGTATATTAGTATTTGCTTTATTCGCTCATTTTCATTCTATCTCGAAAAAGAACAGAGCTTGTGAAATTCCATTTGCAGAAGTAATGATCCAATGAATGGAACCATTTCAGAGAAGAACGACAAGAACCAGTACTTCATTCGTAGTTCACAGTGCGGCAGTCGTGGTTTCTCCATTTTGAACCACTAGTTATCCTTTGAAGAACATTATATAGGTTTCAAGTCTCAAAATATGAAGTTTCAGTATACACGAATATATTCTCAATGGCTGTTTTGAAGACAACCGTGGCATATGGTAATGCCTTCTAATGGATTCATTCTGGAAAAGAAATACCAGATTAGTCAGCAGTGGTTGAGAGTACAATACTATACGAAGATTCATGTGAACTCTTTAATACATAGATCATCTTCATAAACAGTTTCAAAAGAATGAATGAATTGTGGTTATAAATATGATTCTCGGACGAAAAAAATCGATAGGATCGCAATAGATCTTATGTCCATTACTGTTGACGGAGCCTACTATATGTGAATGGGCATGTTTTTCTTTTTCCGATAAAATTTAAAGCATTTTAAGCATCAATCTTAACTTTTTTGGAGAATATAGGAAATATAGGAAAATGGCTGAAATAGAGGACATTATAGGACGATTTTCAAATTTATAGGATTTATAGGAAATATAGGATGACTACGAAGCCTGTAATTTCTAGAGAATCTTTATTAAAAGATTATTCATGCAATTACAAAGGAGGTATAAGTCATAATACAATAGAGGGATTAATAATCGTTGCAAATAGTTCTTTTGTTAGGACTAAAAATGTCCAAGTTCTCGTGTACTAATCCCATTATCCTCAGCACACTCGCAATAGTTTCAAAAAATTAACAAGGGTGAATAGTGTGCATGTTTTCACATGACAAGCGAGCATGTAATTTTGTTTGCTAGGAAAGGGATTTCTTTGTTTAGAAATGATTGAATATGATACAGAAAAGCATTTTTAACGTCATTTCCTTTATTAGTTTTAGAGAAAAAACATTAAGGAACCAATAAAATTGTTGTTCTACTTCATAACTAAACTGACTCACTAACGTCATAAATTTTTAGTTATATAACTCAGTCTATATTTTGCTAACATTCATTATAAGAGATGTTATTCGAAATGGTAAAGTTTATGTCATAAAAAACGTAAACTGTACGATTGGGATATAACAATATTATATTTGCTCTTGTCGTTGCCATTCTTAGAAAATTGAATAAATGATTCGATACAATTGAAAGTAAATTTCCGAGTATCGATTGATCACAAACAACTACGCGCATGATGACTTGATCATCACGAACCAATTAACATCGAAGATATTGCAATGTAGTTAAGACTTCCCTGTTAGAGATTTCGCTTTCGATAACAATCCGATCTTGATTTAATCGATCGATATTGTCACTCAACATCATCTAATATTCTAAATGTTTCTGAACTCATCATTATTTCTGATGGTGATTGCACAGAAGTCAACTAGTAAAAAGCTGCTATGCCTACTGCTGATCGAAGAGCATTAGTGAAAAGAAGAGGTAGCTGTACATTTGTTGACAGAATAGCTCAAGTTTTTGAGTTCAATGTAGCCAATTTTTTCTTTTATAACAATGGCACATAATCTGATTGTTTAACACCAATTGAAATGAGTCTCGGTCAAGATAATACTCTATCTGCTCTATTTCTTTTCATATACTATTGAACAAACTCTAAACATATCGATAAACTTAACTGTTCAATTAGATATTAACATAAAAAATTTATTAGACTTTCCTATAGACAATATTTGTACTGATACACTAACTGAAAATAATACTTATGCAAAATATAAATATCGAGTTTGATTTTGTTGATCTTCTTGATTTTGATTATCGTGCTAAGCAAGCAAAAAACTCTACTATTGTTGGTAAACATTGGATTGATTATTTGATCAATTTTAATTATGATATACTTGGTTCACCGAATTACATCTTTAGTATTTATGACGATTGAACAACAAACAATAACAAACTAGTTCATGTTCTTCCGAGCAGTAACAAGATGACAACTGTATTTCATGATTGGTTTTACTATAAGAAAACAGCGAAAATGCTATTTGATGAATACATATTCTTGACTGCTATACTACTCATGTGGTTTTTTTGGTCTTTTATTGTTTTAACTAACTATCATTTTTTTTAAGAAGATTCATAATAAAATTTTTAATAATATATATTTTCAAATTACGTTTCATTAAAATGGTTCATTATATGGAGAAATATTGGTAAACATCTATCAGTTTCTATTTGAAACAATATTTCTATATGAATACTAGTCAAAGTTTAGATTGCATTTCTATAGATATTTTCTTTGGAAAATTAAACAATAATAGTTTATGAAATTAGCAGCGGATGATACATAAAAAGAATCGATTGTCTTTTGACCTATCGTTTAGTTTAGAAGAGAATAAATACATATTCATTGTTTTGTAATAATTTTGAAAATTAGTTCTCATTGTGTTATATTAGCAAATAGTTTGATTTAATAAAAAAACATCAGAAACGATTTTTCACTCTGATAATGTTTTTAACTAATCTAAAATGTTATTCTACTTCTCATTCGTATAAATTTCAGTTCTACGAAACGCAAGTTATTTCTTACAACATGTGATATTCGAAGTTTTTTCAAGAAAAATTGAAGATACCCTGAAAAATACTTTCTAACATATACCTTTCATTCAACTTAAGTATATTTTTAAGGAAGTCGTAGAATAAATTGTAATCGTCAGAGTATAATTTTATATATGATTTTTGTTTTTAAAAACCAAAAAGATCAATTAGAATTTCTAAAGCATTTATCAAGAAAAAGTCGTTTTCCAGTATCTCGCAGTAATGTTGATGCGTCTGTATTAGCCACAGAGCCTAAATCAGTTCCAGTCATCAGATCATTTTTTATCATAGATGGCGCGGCACAAATTTTTATTAGTAAAATATATTCTGAAACTGTTTTCATTACGATTAATTAGAATTCTCTTTAATAAATAATTCGAATTTTGGTAGAAAACACTTTTTACAATCGTTTATAACTGAAGCCGAAAGTTGTAAGTGGTATCGTCACGATATACCGGCGGTAGTGCAAACAAACATGAGACATGAGTAGAAAAATAGTAATGTTACTCTCTGTGTGTGAAGAAAGATCCTAAACAAATCTATAAGTACATAATACACAAAACTTCATTCAATAATCAGAATTTCAAATAGAAATTAACTTTTCCAGTAATACATAAATTGTTCGTATTTTCAATCATATACCAAAACCATAGTAGATACTGAATAAACTGGTGTATAGATTTTTTTATTTTCTCGATGATTCAAATCTTTTTATGATTTAAATCTTGACAATAGTCATAAATTCAGTGTTTCAAAACATTTTATAATCAGAATTGCAGATCTATCATTTGAGAAGTGTGTGTGTGGGTGTAAGACTTTTCACTTTATTCACATAGTTACAACTATATTTAGATGTTATCAACGTATGATGATGATGATAAACTAATAAATCAATCATAAATATCTATAATGCTTGAGTTTATTTTATTTTGCTTCATTTTACTGTTCGAATAAAATAAAGTAAAACAATACTACTTTATTTTACCTAGTAAAGTACAGATGAAGTATCATCCATAATTGAGATCAATACTTTTTCGTATCTTACTTATCTATGTATATAAATAACAAGCATTTATAGCTATATTTATTTGTCATTCGTCTTTTGTTATTAACAGTGCAAACTAAAAAAAAGTAACTCAAAATATTGACTACCGCCGAATCAATATATAAGAACAATAATAATAGAAATATGAAATTAATCATAGCTGGTATTGGAATTACAATAATAATTACAATTGTTATTCTTGCTCTTGCAATAGCTACATTGGTCAAAGTTAACAATCAAACAAATGATAGACCATATGTTGATACAAGTAGCACAACAACAACAACAACCACCATGACAACCCCAGGTAATTTGGTTTTGGCTGAATCAATTCGTATTGATGATGTCATGAACTATCTCAAAGAATTACAACGTATAGCTACTGCTAACAATGGAAATCGAGCTGTTACTACAACTGGCTTTAATGAAACACTTCGTTACATTATAAATACTCTTGCCATCAATACTAACTATAAGGTATCTACACAATTCTTTCCTATACGACAATTTGCTCTTGATGGCATTCCAACCTTAATTTCATCAATAAATGGTGTCAGTAAAAATTACATATATTCAACTAATCTTGCAGCTGCTGACTTTTATCATATTCAATTTTCGATAGGAGCAAATTTTTCTAATTTTATGCCACTTACTGCTATTCCTAATGTTGGTTGTTCAGATGCTGACTGGCGAAATGCTAATCCATCACCAGGTGGAAGAGTAGCATTAGTCAAAAGAGGAATTTGTGCATTTGAAGAAAAGGGTGCGTTGGCTGCTAAATATAATGTGTCTGCTCTTTTGATCTACAATGATGGTGCAACACCTGATCGTGTACCACCTATTGCTGTTGGTCTTGGTCAAGAAAACTATTTGCCTGCTCTATTTCTCTCATCGAGTGTTGGTCAAGAACTTGTTAATGCAGCTCAAAATACATCAACCAATGCAGGTGTTCGAATTATTATTCAAGTAAAAGATTTACCCATATCACCTATAGGAAATATCTGTGCTGATACACCGACAGGTGATATTACTCAGACTATTGTTGTTGGTAGTCATAGTGACAGTGTACCTGCTGGTCCAGGCATAAATGATAACGGTAAATGACAATATTGAACATGATACTTATCTCTTTTTGTATAATAGGTAGTGGTAGTACAGCTAATCTTGGTTTAGCTATTGCACTTGCTCGTCTTTTCAATAATTCTAATTATGCAAAATATAAATATCGTGTTCGATTTTGTTGGTGGGGTGCTGAAGAAATTGGTCTTCTTGGTGCTGATTATCATGTCAAACAAGCTAAAATTTCAAATGTTATCGGTGAACGTTTGACTGATTATTTGATCAATCTTAATTATGATATGCTTGGTTCACCGAATTATATCTTTGGAATTTATGATGGACGAACAGCAAATAATGATACACCAGTTCATGCTCTTCCAGGTAGTAATAAAATTACAGCTGTATATCGTGAATGGTTCGATCAACAGAAGTTACCTTCGACTTATACTGATTTTAGTGGTCGAAGTGATTATGGTCCATTTTTAGCTGAAGGAATTGTTGCTGGAGGACTATTCTCTGGAGGAGACGATGTAAAATCAGCAGAAGAACGTAATTATTATGATCAAATGCTTGGTCAAGGATTGGGTGGTATTGCCGGTGCTATTCATGATCCATGTTATCATCAAGCTTGTGATTCAATTCAAAATATAAATGTATTTGTATATGAAAAGATGGTACAAGCAGCTGCTTATGTTTTAGAATATTTAGCTCGACAAGATGATTTGAAACAATGGCTTTATCCAGAAGGTAGACCATTG